ATTCTATCTGTTACAGTTAAGTAAGAGACAAAATTTGATATTAAAAATTTATAATAAATAATTACATAAAGGATAGATTAAACCAGAAAAGCAGTGGGTTTTGTATGTTGGATTGTCTTTCAAAAAAAAAAAAAAAAGGAAAAAAATATCACTGCCTAAGGCAAACAGGAAAAAGGACAGAAACATAATTAATGGAAAGAGATGAGGCTTGCCAAACAACTCCAATTGTAAATATGTTGGATTTGATTAAGAGGATTTATGCTTAAGGGTTTGTTTCTGTAAAGGAAAGTATCTCTCGGTCAGTTTATGCACCTAGCCTATAGTACTGGCATTGCGTTTTTCTGCTTAAGATAACCACCAGTCACAGGCACAGCAGCCTATGGAGGACACCACACTGCAGCAGGATGTTATCTCTCAATGGACTGCAGCCCATGGAGAGCCCGTGATGGAGCAAGGGAAATGTGTGAGGAAGGTGTGGCAGAGAGAAACAATTATGGCCTGACCACAATCCCCATTTCCCATCCTCGTGCACCAGCCAGGAATGGGGCTATAAGGTTACACAAAACATAAACTGAGCCTGGGAAAGGGGAGAAGAAAGGTGGCATTTTAAAATTTGGGGTTGCTTCTCACTAGCCAGAATCTATTTTTATTACTAATAAATTGCATTAATTTTCCCCTAGTCAAGTCTATTTTGCCTGTGACAGCAAATGGTAAGTGGCCAGGTGGATATTAATGGGAAATAATATTTTCTTGCAGTTTTTCTCCTTGTTCTTTTACCTTCCTTCAGAGACAACAAATACTTACAAAACTTTTCCTTAAATAAAAGTAAAATATTATTTAAAAGAAACTTACCCAGTTGCATTTCTAAAAGTTAAGATTAAACAATTCCTCGCTTTTTGTTATCTATCATATACCAACAGTGTTGTGTAGTATTTAATAAAAACAATAGCAGCAGGGGGAAATATCAAGTTCACTATAGCACATATTTGGGATGTGGCAATCAATAAAGTGCAGCTGGACACCTTTTCCTTGACTCCACAAGATGTTAGCATGAGATTGAACTGCTTGCCAGTGTGTGTCAGTCATGATTATTGACACTTTGGGCACTGCTGTGATGTTCTACCATTCAAAGTCAGCCTGTGGATCCTATCAACAGCTGAGTATTTTATCCTTTTGTAATACAGATTTACTGATATTCGCTAAATGGATCAAGACTGAAGGGCCAGACTTTCTCCACGAAAGCTACAGTTGCTTCAAAAAATATTGATAATTTCAAACATATCAATAGAAATGAAGGAATATTTTTTGTAATGCAGTCTTTGTGGACATATAATAGAGCAATATAGAAAAACTTCAGTTATGGTAGTGACACAAAAATGTTTAGAATAGCATAAATCTTTATGATACAGAGAATGTCTTTGAAGAGTATGTATTTCTGATGAAAGTGTATAAACCAAATTTCATTCTCACTTAGATCTACACCATTAGCATAAAATATGTTCTGAAATTAAATTAAATTAGTGGAAAGGTTTAGTGTTCTTAGGGAATGAGCAGTTCATATATTAGAGTTTTTTAATAGAAGGATAATAAAAAGCTATGGTATTAGCTATAAATTTGGATGCATTTACATTTCATGTTAATGAAAGGATTAGTATTTATTGGATTGAAGATGTCAACCAGATTTTTTTTTTGTTCTTGAGTTTAAATTAAGAAATTGAGAAAATCTTGAAATAGTTAAATGGTAATTTTAAAAAGTTTCTGGAAATTATAGAGTTTTTCACACTTTTTGTTCCTTGGTGCTTCAAACCCATACTGTAGAAAAGTTCTATTTCTTCAGCACTATCTGCTGACAACTGTAGAAAGCTGGTCTTATATAGTATAACTTGCACACTAGTTACACACCACTTATGTGAGCCCCAAAGAAGAGTCAAATAAGTCATCCCAACTTTTGACTCATTATCTGCATATAAAAAGCACCATCCTGTATCAGTTATTTCAAATTGTAGATTGCCATCTCACATTTAGTATTTTAACACCCATATCTATTGCTGATCTGAGGAATTTCACGCACTCTTTCTCTTCCAATCTCTGCAAAGGAGTTGTTAACAGTAGCAAGATAGAAAGGATGATGCTGTTGCCATATCAGAATTACTGACCATATTTCATCCCAACAAATTCTTCAGTCATGGCAAGTCTTAGAACACCTATCAAAATATGTTGAAAATTGATAAAGACATCAGGTTAAAAATAAATAATTTTATATATAGTAAGGATAACACTCCACTCTTGCATTACTCTTTGACTATGAGAAACACATGAAGATGAAGGCGATGGAATCTCCAAAGCCTCAGAATACACTGTTGGTGGTACCTAAAACCTATTGGTTACTTGGGAAAACAAAAATATTACTGAAGAGGAAAATCCTCATATTCCAGCTTTTGGTGTTACATAAAAACACATAACATTGCCCTTTATATGAACCAATAAACAGGCATTTAGAACCTGAAGAGAGGTTTGTGAACACGATCCTATTGTCCCTGTATTACTTTTATTTCATCTCTACTTTCCCAGCTGAATTGCAGCTATTTTGTGCATCTGTTTCGTTGAAAACTGTATCACTTTTTTTGGTTTTCTTTGGTATGGCATGCATTCTTGATAGTCATGGTACACATTATATGGCCTTTGCAATTTCACTTGAACTTCTTTCAATATGAATGACAAGAATTCCACATAATAGTAATACAACATAAATATTTCCAATATTAATAAAACTTTATGTATTCTTCAGTAGCATTTCCTTTTTTTCCCCCAGATTTATTCTGTTCTTTTTTCTGTGATAACAACATACAAAGCTTTTTTCACCTCTTCTTTTACTTCTTAGCATTAATTTTCTTCAAACACAAGACTTGTTAATTCACATATAAACTACTAAATATTCTATTTGTGTTGCTTCTTAAGGTCATCCAAATACTTCTGTATTCATGTGCCCAGCATGAATCATATGATATTATTCTCTCTGTTGCCACTTTGAATGACCTGGTAATTTAACTAAATTGATCTTGTTATACTTCTTAACCCAGGACAGATCTGTAAAGAATTTCAGGGGTAATAGGGTAATATCCATAGAGTCCTTTTCTTCTTCAAATCCCCGTACTATTCACCTGTTTTTCATCTTAAGTATTTTTTTTCATATGTAGCACCACATAAATTGTTCTGTTGAAATTCTAGTAAAATAAATTTGTCATGTGTCTTTCTTTTACCTCAAAAAACACCGTTATCTTTTATTAGTTGATCTAGCTCTCTTTACAACTAAGAAGACATTTAAGAAAATGAATATTGCCTGTGTTCCTCATTGAACCATAGTAACTATTGTATCCAATTACTCTGGGAAGTCTGGAGGTAACAACCAGGTGACCTTTCTGTGGGAAGGGGAAGATAATCCATTAAGCCCTCCTGGGTGAAACAGTACTGCAACTTTGAAATATAATAAGGCAATATGATTATAAAAAAAAAACCCAGCAAATGGACTAAGTCTAAAATTTAAAAAAATTCAAAACTTCAGGTAGTTATTTTTCTGAATTTCCAAGAAATTCAGTAGGATTTTACTGCTTCAATAATTAAATATTTTTCAAATTAGATTATGATGTACGTGTTGACATAATCCTTTTCATGTTTTAGGAAATATGTTGATATAAGAATTTCAGTTTAAATTTTAAAATGCATTTCAGTGAAATAACATTCATTTCTGTGCACCCTGTTTTGCCGAATTCAAATAGTATTGTTTTCAATTTGTTTGAGCAGCAAAATAATTGCTAATTTACTTGCATGGTCTACACAAGTGAGCTTCTGAAACACTTCAATACATTGGGAACTAATAAGAAGTTACAAATCAATGACTTCATTCAGAGCCTGATGAGATCAGAATATGAAAGCTTTACCTTTTTTATTTATTTCCATCTTAAACTGATAGAAAAATACAATTTTCGTTTTTCTGCTTAATATTAATTTAAATGGAAAACTAATTCAGCCAACCATGGAGCAATGGAAGATCACAAATGGAATAGTTTCTCACTTTAAAACACAAAAGAAATGGCTATACTTTTTCAAGTCCTTTAAGAAAGTCATATTTAAAATATTTTTTTATGTAAAGTGCCCAAAGTAGTGTGAGATACACACACAGAATAGTTTGTAACTCTCTTATTTCAACAAGCATTTTACTTGTTTACTTATTTAATTCACTGTAGAAGAAAGAAATCATGACGAATAACCAAGAAAAATTCCTCAGAACTTCCATACTGAAATATTTTTTCCTTTGCTGAATGTTAAATCCAACATTTTGTTTCTCAATGAGGTATCTATTTCCAATATCCTGAGGAATGCAACACCTGTCAGTTTTGTGGAACAGTAATGTAGCAAGAATAAGACCGGGAAGCTGAAAGGTCCTTAGATATGTTGTCAAGTTGCAGTTCTTGGCATATTGGATATATTTTAAAGATGGGTACTCAGATAAAATGAATAAAAATCAATGACATATTTTTACTTTTTGCAATGAGACCACTGCTTTTCTGTTTTCACTGGAATCCATCCTACTTTTCTGGGACACACATAACACCTCTTTTAATTTAAAAGTGTTTCATATAAGTCATGCAAAATTTGGTTGAGTATCTGCTAACTGGGAAGCACTGAAGATATGGTCAGCTGTGCAAAAGAAACAAAGCTGGAATATAGAGATGCATAATCATATGCTGCTCTTCATGATATTAGATAAATATTTGCAGGGTTATTTGTCTAGATGTTGCTTCTGCTAGTCTGCAGCATGGCTTGTGCACAATTGAAACCAGTTTCTTGTAGATTAACAAGGCTATGAAAGCAGCTTTGACCATTTGATCTACTCCAGAACATTTCAATGCCACTACAACTTAATAAGGGAAAGCAATGACAATTAAGCTTCATTGGTTTTCCAAAGAAGTGTTTCATTTGTGTAAGCACACCCTACTCACTTGCCATTTAATGCTGCTACTCCAACAGTGCTTCTGGCAATTGACATACTTGCCACAAATGTCCACTGCTGACTTTGAGGGTCCCACCTCTCAACTGTGTTCAAATAACTCCAACCATCATGTCCTCCCACTGCATAAATAGGCCCTTCAAGCACTGTAACTCCTAAAATAGAGGAGAAAGTGAGAGAAGATAAAAGTATGTTTCCTCTATGAGTAGTAAAAAAAAAAAAAAATTTTCCAAAACGCAACCAACAAATGAACTTATATATTCAAAATTAAAATGGAAATACCATTTTGAGATTTGATTAATTAAAAATCAACAAACAGGAATAAAATTAATGCCACTCCACATGGCTGTATGAAAAACAGGTCTTGTCAAACAAACTTAATTTCATTTCTTGAGAACAGTGTTTGCTTCAGAGAATAACCTGTCAATTATGTGATCCTCTTAGATTTCTGTATTCCCTTTAGTTTCACATAACATTCTGATCATGAATTAACTCTTTTGAATAGTAGTAAAGCACATAATAAAGTAGAGACTGGATACCTGATAGATCTCTGATTATTGTCAGCCTAAGGGGGATTTCATTGAACGGAATTGTTTCTAAAGGGGTTGAAGCCTGGTTTTGCATCATTTCTGTCAATTATGTAGAAGAAAATAAACAATTCTTCACTAGCAGGAAGACTGATGGACTGGTATGGAATCAAAAAACACATTTGAAGGCTTAAGCAAGTAATTAGACTGAGAAATTAAGGCTGCTTCCTCAGTTTCACTCTATCAAAAAAAACCCCAAACAAACACACACCTTCACAGAAAAATAATGTTGGATATATCAGCATTCTTTTATCTACTGAAAAAAAACAAAACAAAATGTAACGTGTAAAAACTGAAGTAGAACATATTTCAATAAGAAACAATTTTTTGACTGTGAACAGTTTGAACTACCCAGTCAAAGAAATTGAGGAATTCTCTATCTCACAGTCTCTTTAGTAAAGCTTAAAAGGCTCTGGAAGATAAGTTATAGCTAAGCACCATTTGTTACAACACAGTAAGCTCAGTAATCCCATTCTATGATCCTAAATGACCATTCCTCTGAAAAATCTGAGGCTAAATTCAGTCCTGTTTCCAAGTCAATGTCTTTTTTTTTCCTCAGTCAATTTCACAAAATTTGAACTCATCAAAAAGTCAGAAAACAATAGATCATTGAAGTTTCAGAAGATGACCTTGTTTTTTTCTTGCAGAAAAGTCTAGCTGTAATTTTAAACAATGTGACATTCCCACTTTCTGTGTAATAATGTTTTGTTCTATTTCAGAAAAGTAATTCATTAAAAGCTTATTTTACTTTAAAACTATATTTAGCAATGAGTTTGAATATGTTTCATCTAAGAATTCATATAAAGTATTTCTGCACTTTGGGTGTTGATTTTTGTTTGTCAATATTTTTTAACTCAAAAAAGAAAATAATTCAAAAACCCTACTAATCCTTAGAAAAATTTTCCTCCAAATGAAGGTTGAATCTTTTCTTTTTCTATAGAACTCATTCTCCAATTGTTTTAATTGCCATGCCTAGAAATTCTTTCTATTCAATCACATGTTCCAGTTACAATTTCTCTAGAATATTAAAATGAATATTAAACTGAAGTCATGTTCCATATAGCTCAATATCTTATCACATATAATAACGATAAGTGGGAAGGTGTGAGAGCGGTCACATAAAAATTATGAGATTATATGCTAATATATGTAGTTTGGTGGTGTATTTTTGTTTATTAATATTTTAAAATATTAGATATTTTAAAATATTCTTAAATACTGAATAAAGAGGTTTACATTGTAAAAAAATTATTTACAATGATTTGTTATAAAATCATGGTTCTAAGCTTTTTCATCTATATACTATTCATTAAATGCAAAGTTAAATAGAAAATCAAGTCCTTTTCTGGATAAAAAGTGAATCATATTCAAAGGAAGTTCAGAGAGGTAAACATTTTTATACACATACATGTACACATAAATGGTATGGAGACAAACATGCAAACCCTCTCTCACCTTCACACATAAACAGTGTTGTATTGTTATGCAGTGTATTTGCATTGTTGTATTGTTATGCAGTGAATTTCACAAGGCATCTATGATGTGCATAAAGACACATCTCATCAGTTTTGCAATTTCCAGCTTTTACTTTGTCAGATAACTTATTTGCACTTTCACTAGAATATAGTTTTCCTCAATTACTCTTTTTATCTCACTCAGTATTTACATTTTTTTTTCAAGTCCTTCATAGCTGAGCTTTGCTCTCATCTATTTCCTGCTGGAAATTAAGCCAGTACAATTATTTAATTCACTTTTTGTGGGAAATTTGATTTCTCCTTAATTAAAATACCATTCTTCCTGCATTTTCAGGGATTTTTACTTTTTTTTTAAATGACATTGAAAACGGATAAGCTCATTCCATTAATATAATGTTACTTTCTCTTGGCATTTCTTGTTACAAAGAGAGAAAAGTAACATTAAGTAATTCAGCTTTATACAGAAAATAGTTTTTAATGGCTTCTCTGTTCGTCTCATGAGAACTTTTCTGAGTTTATAAAATGCAGATAGAAACCTGTGAGATGCACACTTCCTTCTGATTTTTTTCCCCATTGCAGAAACCAATATACTCCCCTCAGTATTTTCTGGTGCCCTTTTGTGGAAGCTGCTGCGCAAACTGTTGCATCTGCTGGGTTGTAACTCTGTTACCTTTGTTTAGACCCATTCTATATATGAAACCCTACATTTGATTCTTTTGTTTTCTAAGAAACCAGGTTGGTAATGTTCTAAGCTATACAGAAGTATTTTCTTTCCCCATTAGACAGTGCTTGAATCATATGTTTCAAAATATTCTAATGAGAATTAATGATAATGTAATCATCTCATATACTTATTTATATCAGTAAATATATAAATACACATTTTATATTAGAGAGACTGTGTCCCATATGAAGAATTCAATATTCAAGCATTGAATTCAAGCATTTGAATTCATTCTAAGCTTAGATGCCAGAATGTCTATGTGATTTTTATATCACACATATGAACTAAAGGGTATTCCCAAAGGTGTTGCTTGTAGCCTCCTTATCATACAAGATGGAGTGCAGTACAACTCTTCTCTGACTGAAATTACTGAACAGTCCATGATAACAGCAACTGGCAACACCATAATCAAAATCTTAAGGGACACATTCCCGAAGATCACAAAGCAAAATATTTTCCAGTAAAATTGATGAAGCAAGACTATTCTCTTTTCTGAATGTTCCAGGTCATTTGTTTTAATAGAAGAAAAAATTAAATTCATTGTAAGTAGTCTGTGTTGAAATGTCAGAGTTCCAACGCTATTAGCACACTGTAGGATTTCTTCTCCTTAAAGAGCAGAGGTAATGAACTCTATATACCTTTTATTTTTTTTTAATGGTGCAGCCAATTTCTGCTTGGTCTCTTGAGATAAGATCTTTCATATTTTTGTAGTTAAGATACTGAACAATGTGTTAGAAGATCAGAGTTCATTTCAACTTCATGAGACAGGTTTTTGTGTTCACTGTGTATCCTAGAGTATACTGATGTCAGAATACATAATTTTATTTCCTGTCATCTCTGTCCATAAGATAATAAACGTCCACTTAGATTTACACTCAGAATGTAGATATTGAAAAAGCCCATGAATGGGCTTTTCCTGTTTCTAAATGAGAAAATAACTATTTCCAGCTGACACTTGAACTCTTATTTGTCATTAAGCAAATTGCACAAAAGAATAACACTGTTGGCCCTTTCATGAGAATTTACTAAGAGAAAGGAAAGGACAGAAGGCCCTCGTATATTTTCTTCCTGTACATCATCTTCAAAAATTTGGTAAAACCAGTTTAAGGCCCAAGAAAAGACAAAAATCCTCTTGGATTTAATTTTTCACATGATACTATTGCTTTCTTGTTTTCTGACAACAGAAATAATACATTCAGAACGGGAGTATTTTACTATAAGAGAATTACATTAAATAACAAAAATTATTATTTATCTGAACAAAGAAACTTAAAATTGGTGGAATCAGATCTTACTTTTTTAATTTGTAGAAAATAATAATTCTGGCACTGAGGGAGTAATTTTTTCTACCATCTTTTGATGGATTACTTTTACCTGACACTGTGAATGGTTTGGCTTTCCTAGTTCTCATATAGTTGCAGAGCTGAACCAGCTATGAACATCCCTTTTAAGAAAGGAAGCAACTTGTTTTCTTAAGAGGAGATATGTTTTCAGCAATTTCTTGAGTAGTTAAGTGCAGTAAATACAATGAAGAGAAACCTTAATGTTTTCCTGAACAAAGAAAGTACCTGGAAAATAATTATTCTAAGCATTTTGATGTAGGAATTTATAAAAGCAAACAGTATTCTTTCTAAACTACATGAGATCTAAAAAAATAATTGTTTAGTTTGCAATGGCAGGCATTTTCCTTTTGATTGCCTTCACAAAGCTATGCAGCAAAAACCCTATTATGCCTAATTAGGTGCTCAATCTGTACAGTTCCAATTATTTATACTTGAAGACTGGAATGGGATTTTAAATTGCTTTTCTGTAATGTTACAAAATAAAGGAGCACTGCCTATAATATTTTTAATTCTGCAGTTCCTTATCTGCCTGATGGACCTAATTTTACAGAGTAAAATTTTTAAAAGTGTAATTTTTTATTTAAAAAATTGTGAATATCGTTTCATACTGACATTTGGATACAAAATGTCAAAGAAAAAATTATCTGTGGTGCTAGATTTACTGTAGTCTCTCCATTTTGATATTTGTAGAGATGTGAAATTTTAACTGGCAAGGATATACTTGTTTCCAACAACTTTAAAGAAGGACATCACCTTTCAAGAAGATAACAGACATAGACTATATCATGATCTTGAAGGTGAGAAGAAAAATCAGTGGTTTGTATCCAAGTGTTTCATATCCAAGTATGAAACTTGATCAAATAACATCCAGACTTTATTCTACACTTTTAAGCTCTGCAATTATTTAGTGTCCAGGTAGAAACACATTTTTAACAATCTCCTTTCTTGCCCATACCCACAGAAGCATATTTATACAAATTTATATTAATTGTAACTAATATTGCTAATATTTCCTTACTCTGTTAT